TAAAGTTATTGATAGTTGTTTGTAGCCATTTTTATTTTTTGTGCCTGTGTTCCTTCTTCCCTTTTTATTTCTTCTTTTTACACCATTCCCTTTAGCATTTCTTGCATTGCTGGCTTGGTAGTGATAAACTCCCTTAGCTTTTTTTTTGTATGTGAAGATCCTTATTTCCCCTTCAATTTTCTTTCTTTCTTTCTTTTTTTTTTTTAAAGAATGGCTTAGGAGCCATTCTTTTTTTTCTTTACTTTTTTATTTTTTTTATTATTATTTTTTTTAAATATATTTTATTGATTTTTCACAGAGAGGAAGGGAGAGAGATAGAGAGTCAGAAACATCGATGAGAGAGAAACATCGATCAGCCGCCTCCTGCACATCCCCCACTGGGGATGTGCCCGCAACCCAGGTACATGCCCTTGACCGGAATCGAAACTGGGACCTTCCAGTCCGCAGGCTGACGCTCTATCCACTGAGCCAACCGGTTTCGGCATCCCCTTCAATTTTCAATGATAGCCTTGCTAGGGAGAGTATTCTTGGGTTTAGTCCCTTTCTTTGTATCACTTTGTAAATTTCCTTCCATTCTTTTCTGGCCTGATGTGTTTCTGTTGGGAAGTCATTTGATAATCTAATGGTTTAGTGCCGGGGTCCAACCCCAGCAGGTCCAGGGGTCCCCAACGGCGTAGATGGAGTCGGCGAAGAAGGAAGGACACGGAGACAGTGTTCAGTTGATCAGCAGCCTAGCCAGGATCTCCAGCCAGGATCTCCAGCCAGTTCTGGTCTGGATCTCCAGAGAGGTTCTGCTTCAGATCTCCAGCCAGATTCTGTGTCCATGTTCTCTTGCTAGGTTCCCCAGCCAGGTTCTGTAGTCATGTTCCCTCGCTAGGTTCTCCAGCCAGGTTCTGTCCAGGTTCTCCAGCCAGGTTCAGTCACCAGGTTCTAGTCAAGTTCTCTTGCCAATTTCTGTAGTCAGGTTCAGTCCAGGATCTTTTGCCATGTTCTCTCCAGCGAAGTTCTTCTGTCTCTAGGTTCTGTGTAGGTTCTGTCTTCTTCCTTCTGTCTTCTGAGTTCTGTGTTCTAAGTTCTGTCTTCTAAGTTCTGTGTGTAGGTTCTGTCTTCTAAGGTCTGTGTTCTCAGTTTGGTCTTCTAAGTTCTGTGTTCTAAGTTCTGTCTTCTAAGTTCTGTCTTCTTACATCTGTATTTATACCAGTTGATTCCAATCCTATCAATCTCTATTCCAAAGGTTAGGGCGTTTCTTATCTCCATTCCAGGGAGTAAAGATTATGTAGCTTAAGCATGATTGTTCGTAGTTAAAGTGATTAATTACCCACCTGGCACTTAGTTAAGAGGTTTTATTCCCTCCCTAACTTCAGGAGAAAATCCCTACCTGGGGATTGAACCTTTCTCGGAGAGGTGACCTTGGTTAAAACACAGCGCCAAGAAGGTGAGCAAACATATTAAGAACAGTATGCCATATATGCCAGGTCCCTTGAAACAGCAAGGATGGACTGGCTCCCGGCAGTTTAGAGCCCTTGTACGTAACTTTCTGTTTCTCTCTTGCAGCCTTTATGATTCTCTCTTTGTCCTGAACATTTGCCATGGTAATTATGATGTGTCTTGGTGTGGGTCTTTTCGGGTTCATCTTGTTTGGGACTCTCTGTGCTTGCATGACTTTTTTCTTTTCCACATCAGGAAAGTTTTCGTTTTTTTTTTCTAAATATATTTCATTGATTTTTTACGGACAGGAAGGGAGAGGGATAGAGAGTTAGAAAAATCGATCAGATGCCTCCTGTTCACCCCCCACTGGAGATATGCCTGCAAACAAGGTACATGCCCTTCACCGGAAAGAATCTGGGACTCTTCAGTCCACAGGCCAAAGCTCTAGCACTGAGCCAAACTGGTCAGGGCCAGGGAAGTTTTCTGACATTATTTCTTCAAATGGGTTTTCTAACCCTTGTTCCTCTTCCTGTTGTTCTGGCACCCCTATTATTTGTATGTTTATCGTTTCATGTTGTCCCATAGCTCCCTTAGGCTCTCCTGTCTTTAATTTTTTTTTCCAATTTCAGTTCAGTTTGGTTGTGTTCTGCTTCCCTGTCTTCTAATTCGCTAATTCGGTCCTCCAGTTCTCCTACTCTACTGCTGAAACATTACATGGTGTTTTTTATTGCAGCTATTTCATTCTTTATTTCTTCTTGATTCTTACATAAGTTATTGATTTTTTTCATCCATCCTATTTATGAACTGTATGACGCTTATTCTGAATTCTTTTTCTGACATATTGTATGCCTTTGTTCCACTTAGCTGCTTATCTGGTGATGCTTCCTTTTCTTTCCTTTGGGGGTTTCTTTGTCTACCCATTTTTTTTTTTTTTAAATATATTTTATTGATTTTTTACAGAGAGAAAGGGAGAGAGATAGAGAGTTAGAAACATCGATGAGAGAGAAACATCGATCAGCCGCCTCCTGCACATCTCCTACTGGGGATGTGCCCGCAACCCAGGTACATGCCCTTGACCGGAATCGAACCTGGGACCCTTCAGTCCGCAGGCTGACGCTCTATCCACTGAGCCAAACCGGTTTTGGCTGTCTACCCATTTTTGATCTCACTGACAGACCTAGATGTCGATTCGTGCAGGGCCTGTTCCTTGGGTGGCAGTGGCTCCTCAGGGTGCAGTTGCCCATTGGGCCATCACGGCAGCAGCTGCTTCTCAGTTGGCAGTGGCTCCTATAGTGGGTGCTGTTCGCAGCAGTGGTGGCTCCTCTGGTGGGTGGGGGAGGGCTGCTTGCACAGCTGCTGCTCCTCAGACTGGGGTGGGCTGCTCAAGAGGCTGCTGCTTCTCGGATGGGGGCAGCTGCGCATGGCTACTGCTCCTCGGACGGTGGCGGGCTACTTGCGTGGCTGTTGCTCCTTGGACGGGGGTGGACTGCTCATGTAGCTGCTACTCCTTTGATGGGGGCTGGCTGCGCGTGGCTGCTGCTCCTCAGACTGGGTGAAGATTTCTTTATGTATCCTGTGAAATTTAGAGGTAACTGTAATGATCCAGATATTTAAGGGTTACAGTGACAATATCTTGTTAGGAGTCCTCTTATCAGATGTCTGGATAGCCACGACTCCTTTAGCACCCAGCTGGCGGGAGGTTCCCTGGCGCCCAGCAACCGCTGCACACTATGGGCGAGGCCAGAGGGTAAAATGCTTGCTCGCCTAGCAATAGCCTCACATTCTGCACCAGGACTGGCTTTCATGCTGTGGCCACTGTTTGTGGGAGGTGGTTGTCATAAGGACAGAAGTTGTCATGTAGAGTGTGGTGGAGAAATAGTCATTTTGCAGTGGCAAATACCTTCAAAAGATGAGTGGACCTGAGATTAATTGGAGGCCGAAGAGTAATTCAAATAAGAGTCTAGGGTTGGTACATACACCTTTTCTAAACTCTCACCAGGATGTTGTTGTGACCCTCAGTGTGGCCTGGCTGTGGGGAGTTGAAGTTCGTTTTGTGGATTAGCTTAGAGCAGTGATGGTGAACCTTTTGAGCTCGGCGTGTCAGCATTTCGAAAAACCCTAACTTAACTCTGGTGCCGTGTCACATATAGGAATTTTTTGATATTTGCAACCATAGTAAAACAAAGATTTATATTTTTGATATTTATTTTATATATTTAAATGCCATTTAACAAAGAAAAGTCAACCAAAAAAATGAGTTCATTTGTCACCTCAGACATGCATGTCATAGGTTCGCCATCACTGGCTTAGAGGCTTGAGTGAGACTCACTGGGCATGGTGCAGAGGGCCATCAGGGCTGGGACTTGAGTGAAGGTTAAGTGAGGGATGTTGGCTGTGACTAGTGAAGGGACATCAAGTGCAGCATAACAGGAGGTGGGCTATGGATATCTGAGATCTCATTGTTGTTCTTAATAGTTAGGGTTGAAGGAAAAAAAACGGTCATGGAGAGAGGCCTACATAGCACCATCAAGGCTGCCACTATGAGTGTGGACTATCAGAATCTGGGCAGTACTTGATCCTGATTCAGTTTGGCAACCATCCTCTGGACCACACTTGCTGAGTAATAAGTAAAGGCCGGGAGATGAGTATGGGGGCAGGAGATGTGGAAGTGCAGGTTTGAGAGAGGTGTGGTAGATGGAGTGATGTGCACTTGGAGAGGGAATGTGAATTCATGGCCACAGCACCATGACATTGACATGAGTGAATGAAGGAAGAGTCCATTTCTGGTGGTGCCTGGATGGAACAGTAAGGTGAATTTTAGGGTAATTGCCTGTAAAGAGGGGTGTGTGGGTGCTACAATTTAGGTTAAGAGCTTAGGTGCCATTTAACTAACCACCTGCTTTTTGTTGTTGGGAGTGACACACTGGTTGATGGGAATGAGGTAGCATTCATCAGTATTACCCAGTCCTGTAAATCTCCACTGGCATGGGTAAGGAAGAAGGGTAAGAGAGAAATAGATTATGAAGGTGGGGACCTATATTTTTGGAAAAGAGGTGATTAGGAAATAATATATCCACACCATGGAAAATTTGCATTACGTTTGAAGTTGTGCATCTGGGAAAGAAGCTGTGTGAGAGAAGTGTTGTTCAAAGAACTATGTGCAGCAGATTGTGAAAAGTGATGGCCTCAGCACCTTGGGATTGGGGTCAAGCGGATGAAGTGTGATACCATGTTTTTGGTGTCTTAGAGGAACAATTGGAGGGACTACAATGCTAAATTCTGACAAGAAGACTATCAAATTACACTGTCTTTATGGCCTACATCCCTCACTAACCTATATTTTGACACCCACTCTATGGATAAGAGACAGTGTGGCATACATGGGAGGTCCAGAGCTCAGGTATCTTCTGTCTGCTGAACTGCCTTCATTGTTGTGGGAAGAAAAATATCAGCAGGAAAATAAGAAGACAGTGGCTTTCATGGGATGAAGGCCTGGTATTTTCTCAGATGTGAAGAGTGGAAAGAGCAGATGGGTGGGGAATATGACAGACTTATAATCTTAAGAGTGAATCTGATCATGGGCTGTACTGTCCCCGTTATGACAGGATGCGAACTTTGAAGACGTGGCCATTGCCTTCTCTGAAGAGGAGTGGGTGATGCTGGATGAGGCTCAGAGACTTCTGTACTACGATGTGATGCTGGAAGTGTTTGTCCTTGTATCATCTGTAGGTAAGATCTTCACATTCTCCCAGTGTCCTGAGGTGATGCCCTCTCTTTCTTTACACCTCAGGCGTAGCTTTCCCTCTCCCACAGCGAGAACATGGCCTCTACTAATGTCTTCCACTGTCCTGTCAAACGTTCTGTGGCTGCCAGGGATGAGCTGGATGGGGAGCCCTGAGTAAAGGACTCCAGGAACATCCCTAACACCCGTAACCTCAAAAAGTAGAGGAAATGTCAGGGAGTCAAGTGCCTAGCAGTGAGTTTAATGGGTCCCAGCTTGCACTTTCTCTTCATGGGAGGCTGACAGTGTCCACATGCATGGCTTCTACTTCTGCCCTCTTTCTCTTGGTACGCGTTCTTCTGCCACATTATGGTCTTTACCTACATAAACCATGGGCTGTTTTGGTAAGGCCCCCATTCAAATGTATGTAATATTCTCTTCCCTGAATACTATAGCAAGCTGTTTAGCTCTGGCCCAGTGAAGACTACTCACTTCTTCATCACCTGTTTCTCTGCATTGGTGCCTCTGCAGTAATCTGCAACATTGACTTGTACATGTGATATGTGGTGCACATATGTGCTAATTAGTCCTTGAAACCAGCTACTCCTTTATTGAATTTTACTTGGAGTAAGACCTAAACAACTTCTTGCACAGCTCTCCCCCCCACCCCCCATCCCCGGTAAACAATACTTGCAGAATGCTGTTAGTTCAAGGATGAGCTGGAGATCCATATTCTCATCCACGTGGTGCTTGCCATGTTTGTGTCATATTTCTGGTGAGGCCTCCCTGTTTGGTGATCTTCATTAGCCAAGAAAGTCACAAGAGCCTCTTATTAATTCTTCCTGCTTATCTCTTATTTTCAGACAATTGCATGGCACCAATGTGTGATGTGCAACACACTTTTGCAATGGGACTTCCCCCTGCCACCACATTCAACATTCATTTCCTCTCCATTTCTCACTTTTCAGGTTGTTGGCATAAAATGGAAGATGAGGAGGCCTGTTCTGATCAGCAAGTATGTATACAAGGCAAGTCACAGGTCAAGACTTCTAAGACAGCTCCAGTCACCCATAAGAACCATCTCTGTAAGCGGTGTTTCTCTGTGTTACAACATATTTTGCACCCGACTGGGTCAGATGTAGCATACTTTGAGCAGAAAGCCTTCTGTAGTGATGTACGTGTTGGAGACATCTGTTTCAGTGTAAACCCTCACCAGCAACAAAAGAATGAATGTGGAGAGGGGCCCTGGAAAGAAGCTATGGACAGGGCCTCTTTTGTGAACAGGTGCAGCTTCTCCTTATCTTTGATGCCTTCAGCCAGCAGGGAGGTTGGGGAAGACTTGCAGTACAACTCAGAGCTTCTCTGGCACCAGGCCACTCTCAACACTGAGGAGCTACCCTGTGGCAGTGAGATTTCCCAGGAATTTCTCAGTGGAAAAAGTCATCACCGGTGGGATGAATGTGAAAATGCTGCCAGCCACAACCTGAAAGTTGTTCAGTGTCAGGGTGTGTGTTCTGGAGAACTGATTTATGAGTGTAACAGGTATAGGGAAGTGTTTAGACGAAACTTTAATGTCATTCGACATAAGGGAGTTCACACTGGAGAAAAGCAGTATCAGTGTAATGAATGTGGGAAGTTCTTCGGAAAAAGACCTTCACTCATTAACCAGAGAGTTCACACTGGAGAGAAGACATATGCGTGCAGACATTGTGGGAAGTCTTTCAGTTACAAGTCTAACCTCAAAAAACACAACAGAGTTCACACAGGAGAAAAGCCATATAAGTGCAGTGAATGTGGGATGTCTTTTCGTCAAAAGGCCCACCTCACTGAACACCTCAGAGTTCACACTGGACAGAAACCATATGAGTGCAGACATTGTGGGAAATCCTTCAGTTCCAAGTCTAACCTCAAACAACACAACAGAGTTCACACAGGAGAAAAGCCATATAAGTGCAGTGAATGTGGGATGTCCTTTCGTACAAGGACTCAGCTCACTAGACACCTCAGAGTTCACACTGGAGAGAAGCCGTATGAGTGTCGAGAATGTGGGATGTCATTTTCTCAATGGGCTCAGCTCACTAGACACCTCAGAGTTCACACTGGGGAGAAGTCATATGAGTGTAGAGAATGTGGGATGTCCTTTCGTCAAAAGCCCCACCTCACTAACCACCTCAGAGTTCACACAGGAGAGAAACCATATGAGTGTAGACATTGTGGGAAATCCTTCAGTTCCAAGTCTAACCTCCAACAACACAACAGAGTTCACACAGGAGAAAAGCCATATAAGTGCAGAGAATGTGGGATGTCCTTTCGTACAAGGGCTCACCTCACTAGACACCTCAGAGTTCACACTGAAGAGAAGCCATATGAGTGTAGAGAATGTGGGATGTACTTTCGTACAAGGGCTCAGCTCACTAGACACCTCAGAGTTCACACTGGGGAGAAGTCATATGAGTGTAGAGAATGTGGGATGTCCTTTCGTCAAAAGACCCACCTCACTGACCACCTCACAGTTCACACAGGAGAGAAACTATATGAGTGCAGACATTGTGGGAAATACTTCCGTTACAAGTCTAACCTCCAACAACACAACAGAATTCACACAGGAGAAAAGCCATATAAGTGCAGTGAATGTGGGATGTCCTTTCGTACAAGGACTCAGCTCACTAGACACCTCAGAGTTCACACTGAAGAGAAGCCATATGAGTGTAGAGAATGTGGGATGTACTTTCGTACAAGGGCTCAGCTCACTAGACACCTCAGAGTTCACACTGGAGAGAAGCCACATGAGTGTAGAGAATGTGGGATGTCCTTTCATACAAGGGCTCACCTCACTAGACATCTCAGAGTTCACACTGGAGAGAAGCCACATGTGTGTACTGTATGTGGGAAGTCTTTTAGCCAAAAATCCAACCTTAATAAACATCTGAGAGTTCACACTGGAGAGAAGTGTTAAATGTGCAGGGAATGTTTTCTTTTATTCACTTAGAATAACAACACTGAGGGAGACTCTTTGCCTATTTTCCTAAATTTAAACCCCTTTTAATGGAACATACACTCTTCTAGATTCCTCATGTTTCCAGTACAGGTGAAGCTTAAACGAGGTGCATTGCACTTTGTAACATGCCCAGGTCTTCTACCCGATTGATTTGTGGCTGAAGAGATTTCCCCTCTACCACCTGGCTCACCTGAAGAGTGTGTATCAGTCCCAACCACTGCGTGCTCAGGGGAAATGTATTCTGTGTTGTCACTTGTGCTTGAGAGCATTAGGAACCCTCCGCTCCTGACAGGATCTTCATTTATCTCCGAGAAGGTAATGCACCTGACCCAGGGTTCATACAGGGCACCTTCCTCAGCTAAGAAGTGCGCCCTCTGTCAGGGACATGTGGTTCTCACATTATGCTGTGATGAATTGTTTCAAATTCTGATTCACCAACCTGCAAACGGTTTTCTGTCATGTTTTCTGGTTTGTGATCTTTAGTAAAGGTATTTTTTCTTTAGTACCTTTAATTTTCTTGGTTATATTCACCCCCAGGGATGATTTTCAAGCACTATTGTGGTCTATGTTGTATAATTTACAGATATTGTGTGGATCCCAACATTTCTGTGCTTTAGGAGGGACAGCATAATGCCAGGAAATCACTCTTTGACCAATATTGGCTTTTAGTGCATTGCTGCCCACGGCCTTGAAAGAAAGACTGCGTGACTTTGTGGTTCTTATTTGCAGGTTTGATCCTGGCCTCTATGGAGCTTTGTAGGAGGCATCTAATTTTTCCTTCTCTCTCACATTGATGTCACTCCCAATCTTTCTCTTCCTCTCCCCCTTCCCTTGCACTCTGTCTGAAAATCAATGGAAAAATATCCTCAGGTGAGGATTACCAAAAAATCCAAACATTCACCCTGGTGCCCTGAGATGGGGCCTCTGCCGATACAACCCACCTTTGCTCACTCCTGCCTTTTCCTGGGATGTTCCCAATGCAGGTGGGCTCACTGTGCTCTTCCCAGTGTTTGGCAGAGAGGCAAGGCCCTGGGAGGGATTGGGGTTCTGTGTGTGCCTGAGATGTACTGGCCAGGGCTCTTCTGTCTGCATCCAGAGGTCTCTCCAGCCTGCTCCTTCCCACCCCCCAGGCACCTAGCCTGCTGCAAATGAACCTACTTCTGTATCTGGGAGAAGCCCCCTGATGGTATGGGCCCTGAAATCAGTTCATCTTTAGAAAATCCTGCCTCCCGCCAACCCATTCACACCCCTGAGACCCACTGGTGTTTACGTCTTTTTTTTTTCATTTTAGGGATTATTTTGCACTTTATTAAAAATACAGCACATCTCTCCCCTACCCCCTCACCCTGCTGTCCTGGAGGTAGCATGGATTCTCCATGATATGGTTTTGTTTATTTTCAATGGTGGGAACATTCTGTAATACAAGCATTTCCAGAAGGGGAGGATTGGTCTCAATATAATTCCACATTTGGAGGATGATTTGTGGTTGGTGTGCCCCTGCCTCTAAGTTTTGCCTGTGCATGGAAGACCTGAAATGAGGGCATAGTTCCTGGATTCTGGGGAATAGTGTGCTGGTGGGGGTGCGGTTGAGGGGGCAGAGAGTTTGGGTGCCTGTGAACGTGTTCCTGCCAGCTCATGGTCCAGGTTCCTTGAGCGGGTGGGCTGAGGGAAGGCTGTAGGAATGAGAACTTGAATCAGGCTGGATGGAGGGTCAGCAGCCATGGGTGGGCATAAGGAACACATATAAAGACTGTGGCTTTGGATACTGTTGAGCTCAACTGTTTCAGATTCCCCAAATACAGAGTCCCCTGTCCTTGGGAACTGGCATCTAGTGGAGGACAGTACACAATGGACCAGGATACTTGTGAGAGGTGACAGCAGTGATGGGGGAAGGTGAAACCAGCATTGGTCAGTGGGGTCTTCACTGCGGAAGTCTGGGAAGGGTTGGCAGGCTCCAGACGGGAGCCTGCCCTGTGCATTTGCGAGCTGTACGAAGGTCACTCTGGCTGGTTTTAACAGCAAGGATCAGAAAGTGGTAAAAAAAATAATAAATAAAATAAATGGTGGCCGAATAGGCTGATGTATTGTGCATCTCGTCCTGAGCCAAACTGGAAATACAACTAAATCAAAGAGCACCCACTTGTTATTAACAAATTACATGCAGCTGAGCAGATAATTTACAATCAGAAAAGATTCCCAGGGAATGGCAAGAACTGGGAAGTGGACTTGACAGACACAGAATGAGGTGCCGTAAAAACTGACCCCACAGAAATACAAGGGACTGTAAGAAAATACTATGACGGACATTATTCTAACAAACAGGACAACCTGGACAAAATGCTCATATTCTTAGAAAAATACAACCTTCCAAAACTCATTCAGGAAGAATCAGAAAACCTGAAAAGACCAATAACTACTAATGAAATTGAAGCAGTAATTAAAACAAAACAAAACAAAAAACTCCCAGCAAATAAAAGGTCTGGTCCAGATGGCTTACCGAAACAGAGTTTTACCAAACATTCAAAGAACTAACAACTATACCCCTCACACCATTTCAACAAATCCAAGAGTATACAACACTTCCAAGCTCGTTTTACAAAGCCAGCATTATCCTACTTCCAAAACCAGATAAAGATATGGCAAAGAAAAAGAACTACAGGCCCTAACCAGTTTGCTCAGTGGATAGAGCGTTGGCCTGCGGACTGAAGGGTCCCAGGATCGATTCCAGTCAAGGGCATGTACCTTGGTTGTGGGCACATCCTCAGTAGGAGGTGTACAGGAGGCAGCTGATCAATGTTTCTCATCGATGTTTCTAACTCTTTATCCCTTTCCCTCTCTGTAAAATATCAATAAAATATATTGAAAAAAGAAGAACTACAGGCCAATATCCCTGATGAACCTGGACACTAAAGTCCTTGACAAAATTTTAGCAAACCAGGTCCAGCGATACAATAAAGACATCAAACATCATGATGCAAGTGGGATTTATTCTGGGGATGCAAGGCTGGTACAATATTTGCAAATCAATAAATGTGATACAGCACATACATAGATTTCAAGACCAAAAAAAAACAAAACACAAAACCGGATTGTAAAATAAATCACATGATCATATCAATTGATGCAGAAAAAGCATTAGACAAAAATCCAACACCCTGTTTTTGTTTTGTTTTTTTAAATAACTCAGCAAAGTGAGAATAGAAGGGACATACCTCAACATAACCAAGGCCATATATGACAGACCTACAGCCAACATACTACTCAATGGGCAAAAACTAAAACCATATCCACTATGAACAGGAACAAGACAGAATATCTGCCTTCACACTCTTGTTCAAATTGTACTGGAATTACTGGCCATGGTGATCAGACAAGAAGAAGAAATAAAAGGCATCCAAATTAGAAAGAAGTAAAACTCTCATTCACAGATGACATGATATTGTACCTAAAGACGCAATAAAAAAAAAACCTAGATATAATAAATTCAGAAATGTAGTAGGATTCAAAGTTAGCAACCAGAAACATGTCATTTTCATACAACAATTGTGAACTCTCAGAAATAGAAACACACACACACACACAATCCCATTAACCATTGCAACAAAAAATTAAGATATTTAGAAATAATCCTAACCAAGGAGGTAAAAGACCTATGCTCCAAAAAATAGAGGACATTGAAAATATAGATATCAACCAAGGGACTTGTGTGCATGCATATAAGCATAGGCAATGGATACAGACACCAGGGGGTGAGTGGGGGTATGGGGGACAATGGGGAGATAAGGACACATTTTTAATATCTTAATGAAGAGGGAAAAAAAGAAAATAGAGATAGAGGAAGATATAAACAAGTGGGAAAATATACTGTGTTCAGGATTTGCGGAATAACATCATTAAAATGTCCCTATTACCCCAAGCAGTCTACAGATTCAATGCCATTCTTATTAAAATACCAAAGGTATATTTCACAGACCTAGAATAAGCACTCCAAAAATTTACATGGAACCAAAAAAGACCCCAAATAGCTGCAGCAATCTTGAGAAAGAACAACAAAATTGGAGGAATCACAATAGCAGTTATCAAGTTATACTACAAAGCCACTGTAATCAAAACAGCCTGGTACTGCCACAAGAACAGGCATGTATTTCAATGGAACAGAATAGAGAACCCAGAATTTGACCCAAGTCACTGTGCTCAATTTTTGACAAGGGAAGCAAGAGCATACAGTTTAGACAAGAGAGTCTGTTTCATTGTGTTGGGAAAATTGGACAGGTACATGCAAAAAGATTAAACTAGACCACCAACTTACACCATACACAAGAAAAAACTCAAAATGAATAAAAATCTTAAATGTAAGAGGTGAAACCAAAAAAAAAAAAAGTCCTAAAAGAAACCATAATCCATAAATCTCAGATATCTTTCATAGCAATATGTTTACTGATACACCTAGGACAGTGAACCTATAACACGTGTGTCAGAGGTGACACACGAACTCATTTTTTTGGTTTATTTTTCTTTGTTAAATGGCATTTAAATATATAAAATATCAAAAATATGTCTTTGTTTTACTATGGTTGCAAATATCAAAAAATTTCTATGTGTGACAGGGCACAAGAGTTAAGTTAGGGTTTTTCAAAATGCTGACACGCTGAGCTCACAAGGTCCGCCATCACTGTCCTAGGACAATGGAAACTAAGGAAAAAATAAACAAGTGGGACTACATGAAAATAAAAAGCTTTTGCAAGAAAAAGAAATCATTAGCAAAACAAGAGAGTCTATTACATGGGAGAACATATTTCTCAATGATACATCTGATAAGGGGTTAAGCTCCAAAATATATAGGAAACTCACAAGTTAACAAAAGAAACACAAACAATCCAATTAAAAAATGGGCAAATGACCTAAATAGACACTTGTCCAAAGTGGACATACAGAAAGCGAAGAGATCAATGAAAAAATGCTCAGAGTCACTAATAATATGAGAGATGCAAATAAAAATGAAAATGAGGTATCATGTCACACCTGTCAGAATGGCTACCATCAACAAATCAAACAAAAAGTGCCGGTGAGGAAGTGAAGAAAAGGGAACCCTCGTACACTGCTGGTGGGAATCCAGACTGGTGTAGCTGCTGTGGAAAAAAGTATGGAGTTTCCTCAAAATACTAAAAATGGAACTTCCATTTGACCCAGTAATCCCACTTCTAGGAAAGTATCCCAAGAAATCAACAACACCAATCAGGAAGAGTATATGCACCCCTATATTCATAGCAACACAATTTTCAATATCTAAGATTTGGAAACAGCCCAAATGCTGAGTGGATTAGAAAACTGTGGTACATCTACACAACAAAATACTACGCTACAATGAAAAAGAATGCTTACCATTGGCAGCAGCATGGATAGATCTGGAGAGCATTATGCTAAGTGAAATAAACCAGCTTTAGAAAGATAAGTTATCTCATGATCTCACTCAAGGTGGACTCTATCTAATGAGCAGCATGAACT